AAGAACTAAAATTGTAAGAGTTGGTTAGTATTTATTTTTATTTGTTAACATGTTTTGAGTTATCATATGATCAATAAAAGGTTACATGCATTTATAAATTCTAAATAACTTTATGCTTTAGATTTATTGAATGTAAACTGAAATTTATTTTAAATAATCTTAAATTGAGAATTCAGATTTGCTTTGATATTTTGATTATAGTTATATTTAGTTTCACAAACATAAAACAATTAATATTAATAAAATAAATAATTTTAATAATGATAAAATGTCATATATTTAGCTCATTAGAACAATTATTTTGACCAAACTATGTTTATTGTTAAATTTATTTTTAGTTTTTAATCTCTTAAAAATAAGCACTACACAAAATTGTGATTGTATTTGAAAATAATATTATATAAGTAAAATATAAGTTCTAGATAATTTTCTGTAATTGAAAGATATTATAGTCAACTAAATATATGAAAAATAAATAAAAATTCAATAATACTAATTATAAACTATTTTATTACTCTAAAAGTATATTTTATGTTATTTAAAAATATTTTAAATGTATTATTACTATTTTGTGAACTTTCTTTTTTATGAAATTATATTATATATACATATTTTTATGCTATTTAAAAAATATTTTAAATGTATTATTACTATTTTGTCAACTTTCCTTTTTTATGAAATCATATTATATATACATATATTTTCGTTTTAAATTTGTTTTTTATGACTTTATAAAAAATGCTTTTTTATTACATATCTTTTTGGAAATTTTTGAAAAGGAAAAACTAAAAATAAAAGAATTAATAATACTATTTTCAACTCATTAAGGGTATCAGTGTAATCAACCATCGTGAGAATGAACGTGAGAGCGACACATAGGAAAGTGACTTCTCAAATAATATTATAGAGATCATCTATGGTTTTAGTTTGCCTTTACCTATGTAATGGTGTTTCAAAAGCTTACTATTAAGAAAACATATTGACAAATAATTCAATTTTGGTTTTAGTTAGTTTTATTTGTTAAATGAAAGAGAAATTACCTTCAGTCAATTTTATCATCAAAATTTTACTATAGAAGAATAATGGCTCAACAAGTCAACATCCATTCGGTGGATTTCAGTGGTTGGATCGATAAGGTCAAAGACTCAAACTGAAAGTGTTAACAAGCCCATTGCTCAGCTAAGACCACTGTGAGAAAGCTTAAATATACTTGGGCCAATGACACCCAAATAAATTATAATGGGGTTTGAAGATCATAACATTGTTTATATGGGCCTAAAGTTGTAACGCTTAGCATAAAAAGCCCATAATCTTATAAATATAAACCGGTTTGGTTTCGCTTTGGTTATGGAACATATAGTCTTTAGACCAGATTGGGTCAGTTTAAGAGAGGTGTGAAATGGTTTTCATGTGAACGAAAAGGTTTAACACAATTAACGCGAAACGACCTTTTCACAAGTTTGGTAAATAAAGATTACTTAAACTCACTTACAACAAAGTCTCGTTGTTGTAAACAACCTAACTAAATGAAGATTTTTGAGGTTAAAAGTATTAAAACGCGTTTTACTATAAAATACAAATATGAACTGAAAAACACACACGCTATTCTTTTTTTGTTACACTAAGAAAATAAAAATAAAAACCCTAAATTGGTAATGGATTTGCTCAAATTATGGCATTTTGACTTGTTCTTCTTCCTAACACAACGGTACCTTTTTCATGTTTTCTTTCAACCAATAAAGATCCAAATGAAAAGGAAAAAAAAATCGTACATCGAATGTTGATTTTGTTATTATCACTTATCAATAGTGATCTATGCATTTAAACTTAATTCATCTGTTATAAACGTATTTTGAATCTGTTGTGAGTAATGGTCAAATCACATTGAATTGAACCTGATGTTTTTGCTATTTAAAGTTACTAATCGGTGAATGTAATCTAAACAACCGTCGCTAGAGTACTACGTGGCTGTCACGTACTGTAAATTCACAGGCAAATGATGTTAACATCCTCACTTCATTTTTGGACAACGTTTTGTTTTTGCTGGTTACAACCTCACTACACGAGACTTTCGGACAACAGCAAATTTTGAAAGTCCCGAATATACCCTTACAGGCTTTCACGTAAATTAATTAATTTTTGGGGAGAAGAAAATACCTAAAAATAGAGAAAAACAGCTGCGTTGCGTCTGCTAATTTTAGTGAACAGAAACTATTTTTAAACCAAACTTAAATAGAAGGGTAGATCGGGAAATTCAGTAAAATATTTGCAGAAACGGGCAAGGCTCGCATGTTACATTGTCTCTTCTTCAACTTCATGCATACGCTTTAATTAGATCTTTTTTTCCACTTTCCGTTTTCAAAGTTTTGTTAAACAGTAAATAAACGAATTTAATTTTTAGTTGTTTTTTCTTCTTCTTCTAATAATCTTTCTTGAGCGTGTTGTATACAAATATTAAGCTTGAATGCTTGTAGATTCCACTTCTCTCTACTTTTCTTCTCCTCCTCTTCTTCTTCTTACTCTTTGTATTTGCTATTAAAGATGGAAAGCTACAAGTGTAAGTTTTGCTTTAAGAGTTTCCTCAACGGAAGAGCTTTAGGTGGTCACATGAGATCTCACATGCCTAATCTTCACAAGTTTAGCATTCAAGAAGATGAAGAAAGGCCGAGTCAACTCAGTAACGAGAGTAAGTCTTATGTTTCTTCCTCTGAAGAAGAAGAGGGGAAGAGAACGATGGATGATGAAAGCGAGACAGAGTCGTCAAGAAATATTTTCAACTTGACAAGGAAACGTTCCAAGCGAACTCGGAAAGTAGATTCTTTCTCGAGCAAGAAAATGAAAACGAGTCAACTCGGTTACAAGAACGAGCCTGAGTACGAACCTCCACACAGCTCAGCTTCGGATACAACGACGGAGGAAGATCTTGCGTTTTGTCTCATGATGCTCTCGAGAGACAAATGGAAGAAGAACAAAGTTAGTAGTAGTAAAGAAGAGATCAACACCAAAGTATCTGAACACCGAGACCGACCGGATCAGCCGATAGGGTATATAAAAGAAAAAGAAGCATCAGAAGGTTACAAGATTACAACTACTAAAGGGAGATACACGTGCGAGACATGTGGGAAGATGTTTAAATCTTATCAAGCATTAGGTGGGCATAGAGCAAGTCACAAGAAGAACAGAGTTTCAAACAAAATAGAGTATGTTAATGTGGTTGTTGCTCCAGAGAAGAGAATCCATGAATGTCCTATTTGTTTTAGAGTTTTCTCGTCGGGACAAGCACTAGGTGGTCATAAGAGATCACATGGAATAGGGAACTTGTCTGTACAGCATCATCAAGTTGAGACAGTGAAGGAGAAGATGATAGATCTTAATCTTCCTGCACCAACAGAGGAAGAAGAAGTCTCTATGGTGTTTCAATGAATGCTGGAAAAAGGTAACAGACTTTGCGTGACTCGGTTCGTCCAAATTTTCGTAAAGTTTTGAATCTTTTTTTAACTATTATTGTTTTTTTTTTCGAACTAGAAAATAATATTTAAAAAGTTAAAAATGTTTATTTTAAATGCAAAGGGGAGAGGCTACTTTTACATGTTCTAACGCCAGTTCTTGGCCTCACGTCGTGTTGGCCTTAACCATATCAAAATATCAAAGAACATTTAAATAAAGCTTCAAGTTAGTTTTTATAGACTTACAATGTCCTATATGCTTATGTTGAATTGTAGTTTTGGGACTTCAACGTTGTTATTGAAAGCTACTAGTAGTGCCATCACTTGACTTATCTCATTTCTCTTTTGTATTTAGAGTAGTCAAGGCACTGAAACAAACAAAAATCATTTTCAAGGACCCAAAGACATTTTAGTCTTTGAAGTAAAGAAGACGTTTCTTTAATAAAGCCATACTTCAAACCTCATAAGCCTGGTACATACATATGTACTAATGACACAAGTAGTTTTGCGTTTGGTCTACCATAAAATGTAGAATTATTCTTAGAGTATACTTTATTCTTTACTTATGACTTGAAGCAAAACCCACTAACTTTCACCACCCCCATTAGAATCCAACACATTGTGTGTGATTCAGAGTGGTTGTATCCAAGTAATTGCAAAGTTTGACTATACTCACACACTATTTTATTTGGTGAGATTAGTCTCCTGGAATCATTTAATTTGATAAGATCTTTTTCCAAACTTTGGAGGCATTAAAGTGTTTGGAGTTGAAATGAAAAAAGAATAGTAAAACGTAGAGTTAAATAGCAAATGAATTCACTTTTCATAATAAATGCATCTTCTATGTGCACAATTGTGAGCCCATTTGATGTCAGCCGTTGGTACAAAGAGGTCCTGAGACTGACACTAACCTTCACTAATATTCGCCTATGAAAAGAATAAAGCAAAAAGGCTACACAAACCTCCAACGAAAAATAAATACGATTACAAAGTTGAACTAGTTTGGTCTACTCAACTTATGGTTTACTTCACATTGTTGTTGATGTTGATTGGACAAGCATGAGTGCTTAGGACAGACTTCCAAATCTATGTGCCACATAATGATTTAGAAATATTAGGGTTCTCTTTAATCTACATGATAAATAATCTTGTAAGAAATCATTCGTTAATTTTTGTTTTATCTTTGATGAATTTGAGTATTCAGGAATTTATCTGAAATATCATCTTTATATTGTATTAACACCACTTAATAAAAGATCTGAAATATAAACCTTTCGTTGATGCAATTGGTTTATCATGACTCAGTAAAATAAAATACAAATCGTATTACACAAATATTGAATTCGCAATCTCATTTACCAAACGTATCCCGTTGAAGGACGGATTACCACTAAATTAGTAGATAACACGTTTTAGGATATAGTTTATATAGAAAGAGCATCAAATGTTGGGATTCCTCTTTTTCTTCTTTAACTTCTAATTTTATTTATCAACGATCTATTTGATGTTAAATATTAATTGTTGGTAGAAATATTGGTAGTGTCATAGTATGATTAATCTGATAGACTGATGATACCATAAGAAATAAAAAAAGGAGACAAATCACATTGGGTGTGGTTAAAACAGAGAAGCACAAAGAAAAGATGTTTGGTTGGGCGTGATTAAAGTGACTCTCTGACTCGATGCACCAGCTTGAGCTTGAAGTCTTCTTCATTTAATTTTCTTATATATACGTACACTCCCTTCTGTGCTTTTCCTAACTTCAATTTGTTTTATCTACAGAAAAAAAAACTTTTCATAATGACTTTTGTCAAACACTTATCAACCAGTTGTTATGATATACTACTTCATAAAAAGTCACAGTCAACGACATTATGTTAATATTATATGCAAAACCAACGATTTTTTTTTTTTTTTGGTTCATACTGCTAGAACAGAAGCATTTCAAACTTAAACAGTAACTTCTACGTTATACACTAATGATATTAATTGGTCAACTGATTTCAGGAAGTAGTTTTCAAGTACATCAACCGTTTTGAATCACTATTTTAATTGTGACTCAGAGAAGAGAAGTGATTAAAGAATAACGTGTGCATGCTTTAACTGGATCCACGTTCTTAAATAAAAAACATAAAAAGAAACAGTGAGGAGAGATCATGATCTTGTGAAACTAAAAGGAACTAACAAGAGATCGAACTTCCTCTATACGCAAGATAGAATTGGTGATCCCGACGAGACCTAGCTAATCCCATACAGATACTTTATTTGCAAGCTATAGATTTGTGGTGGGCTTTATAACAAGATGGGCCGATTATTCAACAGCTATAGACCTTTTATGGGATTTATAACAAGATGGGCCTAGTTCTTTGTATTTTTTTTTGTTCCGACATAACTATTCAAGTTATACTCTCTGGTCGGAATTTCTCCCAGAAGTCGTTAAAATATCCAAACCATTTAGCGATTCTTAACCGTTCTGCGGTTCGCCGGGTGAGTTTCAATTTCTCGAATTTCATATTGAAATTTGCGTTGTTGATCTTTATTCTAAGAGAATAATTCAAAATTCTTACTCGTTAATAGAAAGAATCTTAGTGATATAGCTATTTCACTTACATGTTTTGATAATCTGGTTTTAATATCTTGAAGTGTTTGAAATGTTCTGTTTGTTTATGTTAAAGAGACTTTAATGGCGAGCCAAGGAATGGTGTCTCTATGCGTTATGACTCCAAGAGTCCCCCTCAAGAACCCAAAGAAACGGTTATGTCATCACCGTGTCTTATGTTCAAAGCTATCTCAATGGGAACCATCAACTCTTACTCAATCTTCTACAGAAGAAGCTGGTGGTTTAGTATTAGAAAAAACCAAGAACGTGTTCGAGTCTATTGTATCCGAGTCCGAAGAGGAGGAGAATGTAGTTTCAACGCAGCTTTTTAAATGGCCAATATGGATTTTAGGCCCATCTGTTCTACTCACAACCGGTATGGCACCTACTCTATGGCTTCCATTATCATCGGTTTACATCGGTTCAAAAGTGGTTAGTGTGCTTTCACTGATCGGTTTGGATTGCATTTTCAACCTCGGAGCAACGCTTTTTTTACTAATGGCTGATTCTTGCGCACGTGCGAAAGACACATCGCAACCTTGCGAGAGTCAACCACCGTTTAGTTACAAGTTTTGGAATGTTTTTGCACTCTTAACCGGGTTTCTCGTACCAATGATACTTCTCTTGGGATCCAAAACCGGTTTACTCGGTTCACTCCAACCTGAGGTTCCTTTCTTGTCTGTGGCTGTTCTCCTCTTCCCTTACTTCATCCTCCTCGCGGTTCAGACGCTAACGGAGATCCTCACGTGGAGCTGGCAATCACCGGTTTGGTTAGTGACGCCAGTTGTCTACGAGGCGTACCGAGTTTTGCAGCTGATGAGAGGGTTGAAACTAAGCGCAGAGGTTAATGCACCGGTTTGGGTGGTTCATATGATTCGTGGGCTTGTGTCTTGGTGGGTGTTGATCGTGGGGATGTGCAACTCATGAGAGTTGCTTGGTTTGCTGGTTTTGCATCTCGAACAACAACAACAACTCAGCAACCAGAATCACCTGTTGCTTCAGAGTAAAGACAGTTTCTTTCGTTTACCTTTGAAGCCAATCATGTCAGAAGAAAGATCTGTAACTCTTTATGGTATGTAATTATGTAAAGCTTTTATTGTTGGTGATTATAACAAAAAACATATTTCTTTATATTCGATTTTATAAATTTGTACATTTTTCTCTGCATTATGTTTCGGAAAAAAATCAAATATATATAATGCATATCATAAAAAAATCTCTGTTTATAAATCTAGTTGTGTAATGTTTTTCTTGATCCTATAATGGATCAAATATTTCTTAAGTGAAAATATAGTGATTAATGTTTAGGGAAATTCCACGAATAATTAGAGATTACACAATAAATATAAGATACAAATAATTTTAGAGTATTTTTTTAGTCCTGAATTGTAGAAAAAAAACATTTAGAAGAATGCTTTAATATGATGTAAGTATATCACGAGGCGTATTTTTTTTTTTTTTTGTAATTATCGGTTACAAAACATTAATATTTAATTTATATTGTATAGTAAAATAATAGTATGATTAAAAAAGACCTGACACAATAATAAAAGTACTATATTTCATTATCATCATAATTCTTTTTTTTTTGTTAAGAGTTATCATCATATTCTTATTCAAAATTGGGGGTAATCTCCTCTTTAATCTGGTCATTTATTTTCGTAATGCGTTTGCGAATAAATCGCGTTTCAAATCAAAGACATGATTTATTGTTATCTTGAAAAGACAATAACACCCTGGAGACTGTAATAACAAAACACATAGCTATTTCCCAGTTTCTCAATCATTCTCTCTCTCTCGATCGACGACTTCTCTGTCGGAACCGGAGACGAATCTGTTTGAATCTCCGGTGATCTGATCGAGATGAGTAACAGCGAGCTTCTTACCGTCGAGCCTCTCGATCTTCAGTTCCCTTGTAAGTTTATTTCAGACACGTTTTTTTTCAAATATTTTCGCATGTCTTATTCTTTGTCCGAACCAGATCTAAGATTTTAAAGGTGGTTAATGATTTCATCTTATTATGATATGTTTCGAATGTTAGTTGAATTGAGGAAGCAGATCTCATGCTCTCTTTACTTGACCAACAAGACCGACAATCATGTCGCCTTTAAGGTAATAATAATAGTAAATTTTCAAACTTTTGATCGTATTATATATATCTCATGTTTCTGAGCCTTCTCGGTTTTGTGTGTTTTTATTTAATTTAGGTTAAGACAACGAATCCTAAGAAGTATTGCGTTAGGCCTAACACTGGAGTTGTTCCTCCACGGTCCACTTGTGAAGTTCTTGGTCCGTTCTCTCATTCTCTATGCATTGTGTGTTCTTTTTGTGTTGAATTTCAATTGCCAAATTAGTAGAATTGATCTAAATTGGTCAAAATTGATTAAATCAAGCGATGATATTAGTGAAAATTCTCAAATTTGTGTAATTTAATTTTTTTGTATATGTATTTTTGATAATTTATCAAAATAATTTATAATTAAACTAAAAAGCTAAAATGTCTAATGTAAAATAGATATAAAATAAATTGATAGTTTTGAACATTTGTTGTAGTGACAATGCAAGCTCAAAAGGAAGCTCCTTCTGATATGCAGTGTAAGGACAAGTTTCTGCTTCAAGGTGTAACTGCTAGTCCTGGTATCACAGCCAAGGATGTTACTCCTGAGATGGTACTATTTCATTTCCCATTTTGTTGATTTTTTTTAATGGATAATGGGTTGATCACTTTTTTTGTAATGCAAAATTTGCAGTTTAGTAAAGAGGCTGGGTATCTAGTTGAGGAGACTAAGCTGAGAGTTACTTATGTTACTCCACCACAACCACCATCACCTGTTCATGAAGGTTCGGAAGAGGGGTCTTCACCTAGGGCTTCTGTTTCTGAAAACGGACAGGCTTCTGAATTTTCTGTATGTTTAATCTTTCAGGGCTCTGGTTGATATAACGTTTCCTCTTTAGTAATTGTAGATTCTCATTTGTGTTTGATTTTAGTTTCAGAGATTTAGCGCAGACAAGGTTGAGCCTCAAGAAAATACATCTGAGGTATTTTCACAATTCTTCTATGCTTTTCTTAACCATCAAAACTATGTGAAATTTATCTGTTGAAGTCAGGTCTTCTGAGTGTCTTTGTTTTCACTCTGTTAAACATCATTGCCATTAGTTACAATTTGGGAACTACTTTTAGTGGAAAGTTGGCTTGATGTATTAGGTAGGGAATCTTTCCTTTTTTGTTGATTACTTAAGAGGCTCATTATACTTTTAAAACCCAGTTCAGTCATCTAGTCAGCCATTACTTATTCATCAGTTTGTGGATGCTTTTGCATATTTTTAATCTGCACCAAATCCACTAGTTCTAACTTGACACCAGGTACTAGGAAAGTCAATTCATTCTACAATAACTTTTATTGAGATTTGAGTTTTGTATGTGTTTCAGGCAAGGGCTCTCATCACAAAGCTAACCGAGGATAAACAGTCTGCCATTCAACTGAACAACAGACTTCAAAGAGAACTGGTAAATGAACTTTCACAGGAGTTCTCTTTTTAAAATCGCAGAATCTATCTTCCGTGCTATTGGTTTTCTAACGAAAATATGACCTTTTTGATGATTCGTCATGGTCTTGAGAAGAAGGCCACAGTTCATGTTTTTTTTTGTTTCTTTAACTTTTCTTCATCATTTAACATTCAAAACAACCATAACTCCCTATGAATATCAACCAAAGCAAGTCTTATATGTACCAAAGGCTTCCTTCGTATAATGTTGTTTGAATTCTGACAAAGAGTTGGTTGATGTGCAGGAGCAATTGAGGCGTGACAGCAAGAGAAGCCAAAGTGGTATTCCTTTGATGTACGTTCTTCTGGTCGGACTAATCGGTCTAATTTTGGGATACATTATGAAGAGCACATAACCACCACCACACTCCACCTCGAGCTTTTAGTCCCACACATCGCCACAAACTTATTTCTTAACTCATTTTTACCACTCAGACATTTTTTTTCTCTCTTTCTGTACTTGAATATCTCACCTAAGAAAGGTGCTTCTAAATTATTTGTGTTACAGTAGTATCATAACTCAGTCTACTTTCTTTTTAACTTTCTTTCTTTTGTAATCCAAAATTTTTTCCTGCTGATTTCTTTATCCCTGACAGATTCCAAGACAGAAAAGTTTATGAGAGGGATGCTAGCGTTAATGATTAGTGTTCTAAAAATCTACTAAAAATCGGTTTAGATGTTCTTCATTGGCAAATCATGTCTATTAAACAATTGGTCTAGGTTTCAAAAAATCAGTTGAGCCAGCTGATTTAAACATTAATCTTATATATATAAAACTTTTAACTATTGTCTAGCGACTTCTTACATTGTTTATGACAGTAAAAAAAATGGCAAATGTGAGAAGATTATACCAGCTGAGGATGTCAAAATAAGTGTCTGGTAGTCAGAACTCTACATGCATTATTTATCATGAATGTTGCATTCATATGATATGAATCGAATCTAAGAAGAGAATGGAGAGTTGTAAGACTCTGACACAGAAAGAGGCTTTGCTTATATCCACGTGCCGAACTTAGGCGCGTAGAACTCCTAACCTCTCTCTCTCCCGTCATTACCACCACTTCACCCAAACTATTATCATCTCTACTCTCCGATTAGATTCCACCAAAATCACAAACCTTCTCCTCCTCCCCATCATGCACATAACTCTTCCCATTTCGTAAAAAAATCCCTCCTTTTTTTTTTCTCAATCAATGTCTCCCTTCGTTGAAGTCTGTAGATACAAACCTCTACCACCATTCCAATGCCCTTGCCGCTCCTCTCCAACAAACCCTCTAATCCTCCCCAAACTCTCCTCCAATTTGCGTCTCCTCTGCTCCTCCCATCCTCGCTTCAACCGAATCTCTCTTAACCGCCGCTTCATCACCGCCGTTGCTAGAGTCGAATCAGACCATCTCGGTGACGATGGTAACTCAAAGAAGGTAACTTTACCCTTTAGTAACCTCAAAATGAGACACCTTTATACTTCCTTATAACTCAAAGAAGATAACTTTATACTTAGTTTCAACTCGAAGGAGCTTATTTCAACTCAAAGGAGATAACTTTATACTTATTTTAACTTAAAGGAGACACCTTTATACTTCCTTATAACTCAAAGAAGATAACTTTATGCTTATTTCAACTCAAAGGAGATAACTTTATGCTTATTTCATCTCAAAGGAGATAACTTTATACTTATTTCAATTCAAAGGAGATAACTTTATGCTTATTTGAACTTAAAGGAGATAACTTTATGCTTCTTTGAACTTAAAGGAGATAACTTTATGCTTCTTTGAACTTAAAGAGATAACTTTATGTTTATTTCAACTTAAAGGAGATAACTTTATGCTTCTTTGAAATCAAAGGAGATAATTTATGCTTATTTGAACTTAAAGGAGATAACTTTATGCTTATTTGAACTCAAAGGAGATAACTTTATGTTTATTTCAACTTAAAGGAGATAACTTTATGTTTACTATGGACATTTTAGGAAGAAGAAAGAGTTAAAGAAGTGAAATCAAGAAGCCAATTCAAGAAGAGGGTAGTGTTTGGATTAGGGATAGGGTTATCTGTAGGAGGAGTTGTGTTAGCTGGAGGATGGGTTTTCACATTAGCTTTAGCAGCTGCGGTGCTTCTAAGTGCACGAGAGTATTTCGAGTTAGTTAGAAGTAAAGGAATCGCTCAAGGGATGACACCTCCTCCTCGTTATCTCTCTAGAGTCTGCTCAGTTATATGTGCCCTCATGCCCATTCTTACATTGTGAGTTTTGAATCTTTTGTTCATTTAATGTTTGGTTTCTTTTGTTCTGAATTTTAAGGTTTTGGTCTTTGTAGGTATTTTGGGCATATAGATATTGCGGTGACGTCATCTGCTTTTGTTGTTGCGATGGCGTTGTTGTTACAGAGAGGAAGAAACCCACGTTTCTCTCAGCTGAGTAGTACTATGTTTGGGTTGTTTTATTGTGGGTATCTTCCTTGTTTTTGGGTTAAGCTGCGTTGTGGTCTTACTTCTCCTGTTGTTGGGAGAAGCTGGCCGGTTCTGTTAGGTGGTCAAGGGCATTGGAGTGTTGGACTTGTGGCGATATTGGTTTCGTTTTGCGGTATCATTGCCTCTGATACATTTGCTTTTCTTGGTGGCAAGGTAATGTCTTTGATTCAGTTTAAGCATTGTGGTCTTGTGGTTCTAATGGTTAAAAGTTTTTAGGCGTTTGGGAAGACTCCGCTTATAAGCATTAGTCCGAAGAAGACATGGGAAGGAGCTGTTGCAGGACTTGTTGGTTGTATTACCGTTACTGTTTTACTCTCTAAGTCTTTGTCATGGCCTCAGCCTCTTGTCAGGTAACCTCAAATGAATCCTAAGTCTTACTGATTCAGTTTGTGTGTTTCTGAATGGTTCATTTTTTACAGTACAATAGCTTTTGGGGTTCTTAACTTCTTAGGATCGGTCTTTGGTGACTTGACCGAGTCAATGATTAAACGTGATGCTGGTGTCAAAGACTCCGGTTCACTCATCCCTGGACACGGTAATTAGTGGATAAATCAGCTCCGGTTTAATGCGTTCTATTAAACCGGTTTTTGTGTAAGTGTAGGTGGAATATTGGACAGAGTGGATAGTTACATCTTTACTGGTGCATTAGCCTACTCCTTCGTAAGGCTTCATGGAGTTTGATTCTACCGTGACATTGTTATAGCTTCAAGCGTTCAAGAACACTTACAAAACCGGCTCGGTTTTCTTCCCTCCACGAGTTTGAAATTCAAGAAAAGGATATAGCAAATGATGGTGATGAGCTTCCGGTTTATTGTTTGATTGAACCGGTATAGAATTTTTTCGGTTCAATGTGAGTACCGGTTACACTATTAGAGATTCGTTTCATTTTTTCTTTCCAAGCAGACTTTTTAGTTTTGAGTTATATTCGTTGTTAGAATGAGTCGACATATTTGGGCCAGGCCCACGGTTGGTGTTGGGCTTTATTGAGACAGTGGTGGGTTTTTGTTTGTACTCGATCTGAAGCCGACATGGGGTTAAAAGACAAATCACATGGGGAGGAGACACGTGTCGAACTTAACGGTTGTGGCGGCTTTGGGTTGCGGTTAGGGCACGATCTTTTGCAAAACATAAAAACAGAGCGGTGATGGTCCAAGCACACTTGTCTGCTGCTTTGTGGAACCCACTTTGCTACAATGGTCCCATACGTTCTTTACTCTTTTTCTTTCTCCTCTCCATAATGTTTTCTTCTCCCATGTCAACGACTCGTAATACAATTATATTTATACCCTAATGTCTATTCTAATGCATTATATTCGATTTCGGGTTCGTATGCTTTCTTTAACACGTTTTTGGTGTCCGATCTCATGTCACGTTTACGCATCCGATAAATTTTATGAACGAAAGTCATGAGCAAGAAGGTCCTATTGTGTTTGCAAAGTTTAGTGTCAAGTGTTCAAATATTTAAATTTGATGAACTACAAGGTTTTTAGTGTGTTTGTGAGACGTTGGTCATGTTTTCGAATCATTAACTTCAAATATGTTATTTGTACTGGAGTACAGTCAAACAGATATATAATAATTATGCATGACTTCAACCATAGTAACTGCCAATTTCATCATGAGTTTTTGAAATTATTAACATGAAAGAATTTATCTTTAATACGGGTATTCGAAATAATAACTATTTAATCATTGTTTTGAAATATTAAAACAAGGATCAATGAATCAAATTTTTGGAATAGATCGATAATAGATCGAGCTGAGCTGCATGGATCGAACTCTAATAGAATGTTAGGTACTTGGGTTAGATAAACTTCTAATCAAATATTAATTAGCAATAAGTGAACTTATACACAAGTTAATATATTCTTTCGAACTCGAAAGTGATAAGATTTTGTCCCTAATAGAAGCACAGTCAAAGATATATAAAATATAGATTTTGTTAAGACTTTTGGGGCTTCAGCAGACACTATCCGACCACTGTCACTTGCTGATAACATCAAACTATGTCCTTTGGTCATTAGAAGCGTAAAATTTATTACTTTATTAGCATTATATCATATATAATTGTGGTTATAACGTCACTGTGTTCACGTAGACATGAACAACTGAACATGTATCATGTATACAGTTGACCAATATATCTAAATGTAAATTAAGTAATAATTAGATTTGGACCCGCGCAACCGCGCGGGTTTTGTTTTCATATATATATATATATATATATATATATATTTGTTTTATATCATTAATAACGTTAGTCATATGTTTATATAACTATTACAAACACAATAGTATTATATCTTGTACGTTAATATCAATTTTTTCTTATTATATATTTATCTAATTGGTTTTATATTTAATTATTGATATTAATATATGCATGAAAATGATATTATTTTATATATAATTTATACTAAATTATTATTTGAACAAGATAATAATACATAGATCAAACACAATCAATCACAGTCAAGACCGTTGCATACTTAGAAGATAATTATCATAAAAATTAAACACATATAATATCTTATACATCCATGGTGTTGGTCCTGTTGGATTTTGAATAACGCGTTAAGTTAATGAATAAGCTATGCATATACAATGAAATAAAACTAGCTAGGACATTTTTTCTTTCTTGGATTTCCAAAAGCTAGGACTCACTTGGTTTTTGTAGGAAACAAATCTGTAAGCATTGATAAGATCCGTAATCTGATTCTATTTTCATCACATGTTACAATTATTTATGAAAATACGTTGAAAAACCGTAGTTTGACCTGTCAGAAATGAAACAATCCGTTTGAAGAATGTTTGGCAGAAAAAAGTCTGCTTGCCTTTTTGTTAATCGCCACTACAAATATCGACCTTTACGCGGATGTTAAGTTTCCCGAGAAGCACACACATGAAGATACATCAAACTGAATTAAATAATGAGTTTAGGAGACAAAGTTATAGCAAGGTAGCGTAAAACCATGCAAAGTGTTTGAAGGCCTCATCGTAGAGACAAATAGGTAGGAGATTTAAAACCTCTTCTTGGGATAAACAACGAAGCATATGTATCAAAACCCTAATCCTCCTTTTTGCGTGTTCCCATGAATAGCTAGATTTTAGGTCTATATTAATTAATACGTATTAAGCGGTCCATCTGAAGAGGCTATAACTACGAGAGAGAAGACAACAAGTTTGTATTTTCACTTTCGTTAGGACGTTTTCTCTGGTTAGGGTCGGTGGATTCTTCAGACAGAAGAGGGGCCACATGAACACCATAATCTGACCTTCTCTACTCTTTTCTTCTTCTCACCCATACATTTGCATGTTCTCTCTTTCTCCTCTATACCATCGACGACTCTGAATTTTTCTCTCTCTATCTATCTCTTCATTTATTACACGATCTCTCTGTCTTAAGCATTTATAACAATCACGATATCTTCAAACCGTCATATCTCTTCTTTTTTGTCAAGAAGCGTCATCTCTTTGCATCTATATATATATATTGGTCGGCAACCATCGATTGGTTATAGCCATATATCTCCCTTTTAGCTCTATTACTCGTCGTTGATATGTTGAGAATTAGTTGTTTCTATTTTCTTTTTATTGTTTTTGTCATCATTTCTTGGACTTGCTTATGCGAGTCTCGTCGTCTTGGACCCATGGAGAAGAAGCTTCATGTAAATCGTGATCACTTAATTGCGAAGGTAAGCCCCTTATGTCAAAGCATGTGTTCTTTTGAATCATGATGTTAGGGTTTGTTCGTGTGTGTGTAATAACGTGTAGGGTATATTCTTAAGAAAACAGTTTTGACTGATTCACATGCGCATGTATAGTACAACAAAACACGGATTTGACTATTTCCTGATCGTTGATATTGACATTTGTATGCAGTACAACCGGTTTTGTGTAGAGGTCGGTTAACTTTAAATATGCATGTTTTATTTATTATATAGCTAAACTGAATTTCATATTTTTCACTTCGAATCAAATATACTTCTACTGGAGATTTTTAGGTAGGGTCCAAACGTCCTAAGAACAACATTATCGATGATCCATTAGCGGGAAAGTCCCTTAACTTTTAATTAAAAACGGTAAAGAACATCCGTAAAATCCCTTAAATTATTAAGGGACTTTACGGATGTTCCTTAATATATTTAGTTAAAAATTAATGGATTTTCCCGTTAAGGACAACGTTAACGGACCACCGATAATGTTGCCCTAAAAGTCTAAAACCAATAATAATTTTGAGTGTCAAGTAGTGTCGCTAGTTGCACTTAAGTTTCACCAAATCTCCTGTATTTGTAATAGGGTTTGTTATTTGTACTGAACATAAAAAGTATATATCAACTAGAAAACTAATTAAACACTATCTCATACAGCTATTTAATTTCTTTTCCATGGCACAGAACAATGAAGAGATTAAAAAACTAGAAGCTCCGTCGACAAATGACACGAAAACCTTATCAAGAGTTGCACCCATCCAACATGCCGTATGTGATCATGGTGAGATCAATGAGAAGAGTACGAAGGAAGATTGCGCAGTAAACCGAGCTTCACTAGTCAAAACAAGTGTGTCGTCAAAAAGAGTCTCAAGAACTTGGAAAGTTCCCAAATATTCAAAGAAGCTGCCTGGGTCAGATCAGGAACATCCCGGATTCAATCTTGATTATATGCAGCCCACTACGCACCCACCTCATCATAATTAACCTTTTGGTGATCAAGTTTCCATATTGTGATTTATATATATACAATAATTTAAAGTCACACGAAGAATGTCGTCCACATTTTAACTCTTTCAATATATATATGGTCACAAACGACCTAGTTATAAGCTCATGACTATAATATTTATGTAAAATTAATTAGAAAACAGGTTCTTGATATTTGTTCAATACACGCTTTCGCGTGCATACATCAATAACGATGCCCTATATAAAAATTTACGCGTCTTTACATGCACATGCATGGGTACCTTTGTTGTGATTTTTTTTTGTTTGCTTGTTTAAAATCATTTGTTGAATTATTCTGATATTATTGCTTAAGTATGTGCATTAAAAATGTGTGTATTTTTGTGGTTAACAAATTGTTATTAAGGTACCACTAGTCAAAATGCCTTATTTCTACGGTATTATGCAGTACGTCCGCGTGCACAGTCACTGTTAACGATGTCCAAAAAGGACGAAGATCCCGCGTTTGGTTCCAATGCAATCAGGTTTAGGGCTGGGCAAAAAACCCGGATCCGAAAAACCGAACCGAACCCGATCCGAAAAAGTAGTATCGAACCCGAACCGAAATTGATTCAATATCCGAATGGATTCAATATTTTGGTATTTAAAGAACCGAAACCGAACCCGACCCGAACCGAAATATTTCGGGTACCCGAATATATCCGAAAGAAATTTATATACCTATATATATTAATTATTTTTAGGTTTAATATATATAAAAATATTCAATATATATAAAATACTTTGAAGTTGTTCAAAATACTTAGAAATATATGTAAATAGTCAAACATACATGACTAAAATTGCTAAAATACACTCAAAACATCAAAAATACTTTAAAAAAATTATTCATTCATAATCCAAATATTCAAATCAAACTAGTTTATATGTTAATTTTAGGTATTTTGACTTATGTTATTCAATTATTTGTAATATATTATTTTGTTAATAGATTTTTAGAAATTTAAAGTATATAATCAATTTTAAAATTTTTATTAATAATTTAAATGGGTTATCCGAACCCGATCCGAACCGAACCCGAACCGAAATTTAGAAATATTCGAATGGGGCTAAAATTTGTGAACCCGAAAACCCGAAACCCGAATAGATCCGAACCGAATCCGAATGGGTACCCGAACGCCCACCCCTAAATTCAGGTTGTCCCAAATCTACGTCTCTTGAGTTTAAGTTGACTTCATACAACTCATATAACAACAAGGCAAGGAATTTTTTTTTAATATATTTCTTAGTAAAACGTTTGTTTATTTGTTTCCTAAAATTTCGTGTTTAGTTTTGTGGGTGATAAGATGTGAGTAAACGCAAAACCTCCAAGAGGATTGTCATTTCTAGATACAATGTTGTAAGATAATGTATACCATAAGTCTTTTTTATGTCTACCTTAAGTTTCATATAAGAGCGGTGGTAACCTGGTGATAAATTTTTGGGATTCGGTGTAAACTCGTCTGTCTTCAGTTTGATTCCCACTGAAAATCGAGTTATAGCTGCTTGGATAGTATGGCTTGAGTTGCATCCTAAATGATTGACACGGTGGGTCATAATACACGATCATTCCACTCTAGACATTAGTCAGAAAGCATTAAAATTCAAATCAGGTAGTGTGGTATCACTAAGAACCTGATTAATAAGGGATTTTTAACTGAATATAAGAAACCGTTTCTTAGATATCGTCTTATTTAAGAGTCATTTTTTAGTTAAAATTTAAGAGACGATTTCTTATATTCCGTTAAAACTCCATTAATGATGTTCTAAGATTCCAAATGATAATCTATCTTTCCACACCGCACAGTCGTAAATAATAACAAAAATCTCAACATATGCTTATGTATCTAAATTTTTTTTGTTACTATTTGAAATGAACCGCAGTTGCTCCGAAGTTATCATTCAGAATCAGACCCTAAATGTGTTTTCCCATAGCCTACTATGAGATTGAAAGGGTTTATAAAAAATATGTCATACAAAAATATTTTTTACTTTAGATAGAATGGGATATTTTTTTTTGTCAATTTCACACAAAATAAAAAAAATACAAAAATTGATGAAGAATAAAAGTGATGAATTTATTATTTTATTTCTATTATATTCATTTTATGATTTTTATACTAGTCAATCATCATCTCCTATATCTCTAACCACTTGCTTCCAAAAAAGGATACAGTAAAATCTCTATAAATTAATAATGTTGGGACTACACCAAAATTTTATTTTTTTATTAATTTAGAGATATATTAATTTATCGATATACTAATCGAACCTAAAATTCAATTTAGAGCTATAAAATCATATTATTTTACAGAAATATTTAGTGTATATTAATTTATCGAGTATTAATTTATAGAGGTTCTACTGTAGATAGAACATCATGTTCACAAAAAAAAAAAAAATTACATCGACTACTTGTGTTTCAGGCCCATTTAATTATAACGGCCCATAAAAGCCCATTAAACTTTCCCGCCAGAAAAGAAACCTGGAAATTCCAATTTCTAAAACCTAAAAGCAACAACACAAAAAGAGGGATTAAAAGATAAAGAGTGTGCGTGAGCTTCGTTGGAGACTGAGAGAGAGATTTTCAATTTCGAAGAATGGAGGGAAAACAAGCCGGATCCTCTCTAGATCTACTCATCTCTTCCTTCAACAAACGAGTCTCCGAGTTACAAGAACTCGTCATCGCCAGAAACAGTGAGTCGAACACTCTAACGAACACTCTAAAATTCCATTTAGATTTTGACCTAATTTTGATATTGTGTGAAGTGTATCCGGCGAGCAGTGTTCCCGATTTAACGGCGATTGACACGGCGTTGAGCTCGATGGAGCTTCAGGTTCAGTCGATTAAGGATCGGCTCCGTGAAGAGACCGAAGCTATTCCGAAAGCTAAGGTGTATAGTCTCGATTAGTTGCGATGGTTTTTCGAAAATTGGAATTTAGAAACGGTTGTTAAGAATGTGTAATCGAATTAGGTTTTTTAAGGTTTAGATTAATTCTGAAAATATTTCGAAAATTGGAATTTAGAAGCGGTTATTAAGATGTGTTATCGAATTAGGTTTTTGAAATGTTTTGTTTGTGTTGGTTATGGGAACTAAGGGCATGATTAATCCGGGTCTCTCTTAGCAGAGGTTTTTAACTCATGATTTGAATTTTTTTTTTTTTTACACTTTTCAACTAAGAGACATTTTTATATCTCTTATCTAAGAGACTATTTTTAGCTTTTTTTTAGTTAAAATCTAAGAAAAACTAAGAACATTAGGGCAAGTGCAATGGAGGTTTTTAGCTCCAAAACCTAGGTGAAAAAATAGTAAAAAAACTGATGGGTCCCCAATTCTCTAAGGATTAGCCTCTTCAGATCCTTATTTAAGGATCAATTCATGGAGAGTAATGTCACTGTTTGCGGGCCCTGCTGTTAGGTGGCGGTTCGCTATTGGATTATCTTTTTTTTTTTTTTTTTTTTAGCTGAAAAATAAATAATAATAAAAAAATAGAAAAAAAAAGTTATAAGGATTTTTACAGGGGTACATGGTTGCACATGGTCTTATCAACTTGGGGTTTTAGTGAGATGCTTAGGAGGGAGAGACCACAAAAAGAGGAAAAAAAAGAAGCAGCTCTGCAAAAAACTCTGGAATAAGCAGCAAGCTTGTCCTGTTTCGTGGACCCCATGCCATGTGGCGGTCCATGACTTTTTTTAGATAAAAAAAAATAAAATAAAAAATTAAGCACTCCCTTTGCGTTGATGCTGCTCTAAGAATCTCTTTTTGGCAAAACTAGTAATCCCAATTAAGAGACTATCTGGGGTTAATCATGGTCTAATGTGTATTCTTCAATTTAGTTTAGGTTTTTTTTATAAAAGTTTTATATTTTATTGATTTTAGCTTCTTTCATTTTTGTAGTGATTTTCAATTAGGATTTTTCGCGGTCCTGGAAAACCTTCAGCTTTTAAGAATTTTGTGTGTTGATTGTAGAAACTTATTGAGGCATCACTGAAACAACAAGAGAAGTTGCAGAAGATGTCTGTTTATGCACCTTCACACTTTCCTGACAAGACTACTATGTTGAATTCTGATATTAACAGATGGTACTACTTCAATATATTTGTGTATATCCTATAGTGTCTTTTTTAAACTAAGCTAGACTAAGGTTAGTGGGGTTTTGATACCAGTTTGCTGCAAGAAAATGTGAAGAAGCACGAACAGAGGTCTGATCTTAGGTCCTTAAAATCTGAGGAGGAAGCAACTGTTTTACCCAAGGTAGAAACTTATGGTTATGACTTATGATGAAGTGTAGGTAGTGGTGTTGCATTCTGTTATCATTGTATATAGGCTAAATCTTTTGGGTTTGGTTTACAGGAGAAGAAAGGTCGTGGGTCTCCTCCGCTTTGGTATATAACTGTTGAAGAACTCAATTCCCTCTCATCGTAAGTACCACTTTCCTCTCCATGTTTATGTGAAATGCATTTTCTGAGATGTTTCTTAAAATAATATATATAGATACATGAGAGGAAGGCTCACAATAGAGAAAGTGAATGCGGCTATTAATGACATGGCTTCATACGCTGAAGCAAATGCTCATCTTATTTCAGCCCCAAAACAAAAGGTATATTACTTACATATGTCCTGCTCTGTTTATCTGTTTTGTCGATTTGATTACTGACTCTTTGTTTTTAATATTGTGTAGCTTGCTGAAAACCTCTGGGAGAAAGCACTGGTAAGCTAATTTTTTTTAAAGAATGTTATTGTTTCACTAAAAGCTGTTTATGGATTTCTTATGCTGATTATGTTGAACTCTTTGTATGCAGAAACTGCGAGACATTGTAACAACGGGTGCAGTGAAGGGAAAACATTTCTTTCTTGAAACTGACATGAAGGGACCAATGTTGAAGCTAGACAACACAGGCAAAGCAATACTTACAGTAAGTATCAAACAACAGACAGCATTTTTTTTATGTCACCATGAGTTAGACAACACTTAATAGTTGTCGTCTTTTGATTTTTTTTTTTAAACAGGTTCTTAGACACCTTGGTCGTGTTAGTGAGACACGCATTGGTCAAAACCGCGTCATCATTCTTATGAAGCCTAATTAGAGAAGAAACCAACTTTCTGGAGTTTATGTAGCCATCCACATTGATTTAATGACGGTATGCTTATTCGTTGAACTTCAACGCACTAAGCCTTAAATCTTTTAGACTGTTGTTCTGCTCCTTAGGCAGGCCCATGTAGGCCCAGAACCAACTAACTGGTTGTGAAATATGGACAATGTCTTTAAAGTTTCTCAGATTTGCACAAAAGTAGCAAAACTCGATTTCCGTCACTTCGTTATATTTTCAAACTCTTAAGCATTTTTCTGGAAATTAATTCATTAGTATATTTGGTTCAAGTTCCAGTGCACACAAATGGCCTGTCCCATTCTAATTTACAAAGTAGCAAAACTAGTGACGTTTGATTTAGCTGTACATAGTTTACTTTAAATTATGGTATACATAAACCTCAAGAGATCGTAGATGTTCGGCTTGTCCATATAGCTATGGTAAAACGTATTAAACACAAAAAAGACCACCGAGTTTATTTCAACAAAAACCAAAGCTATGTTCATCTTAAATAGATATTCAACAATGTTAAGTCAATTATTCAAAGAAGAAGTAAGAAATGGAGTGGAGGTCCATTGACAAACATTCACAAATAACACGTTTACTCATAGTCTCTGTCCCAATCGTTTTGTCTTCTTTTTCATACAAACCAATAATTCGATTTTAGTCATCGTTTGTTCGTGCTTGCAAAGACACGAAAAACAAACATTACGCATAAAGACAAAACTGAAAACCCTAAACCACAAGCCTTCCTATCGCATAGATTTTTTCTTCACATTTATTACCAACCAACTCATATTAAGAAGAGACGATCATAAATTCTCTTGTATCAGTCACGTTTTAGACTATGTAGAGTTCTTTATCACCATGCATATAGGCCGCCTGAACAGTGTGTGAACAAAAAACGCAATCATGAAAGTAAGAAAATCACCTCCTTTAACATTTTTGTAATACTAAAAAAATATGATTCATATTTAGATTGATTGAAATTATGTAACATAGAATTCTCCTTTTTAAGCGGTACACAGACCAGACAAAATCAGAAGAGCTCCTTTCTTTTCTTCTTCTTTTTTCCCTCTCCTATATATTTTAAATTCCATTTTTTAAAATGCGTTAAAACTAAACTTTGATTCGTTACAGATAGATACTGATATTTCAAGAAAACATAATTAGACTAAACTGTTACATTACGTGTAATTCATTTCTACTTGCACACTTGGACCAAACCCTTAGGGCTCTAATAGAGCGGAGCTCGTCGCGGTGGTGTATTCTTCTTCCTTCGGTTTAAATAGTTCGCCGTAACAGCTTCAGTGTTAGTCAAAGTCGTCGTTGTCAAGCTGCTTCTCTTCTTCCGAACGATTTCAGTGGCATCGGTGCAAGCAAGCTCCTGACACAAGAACATGTCTACTCCTCCGTCGACACCGTCTGACCCTGAGGGTTCGAGTGTGGATGTGGTTACATCTTCGGTTAAGTTAAGAGAGTTACATACGCGGAGAAACCCTGAGAGTCCTCCTTGTCTCATTATGACGTCACTTATCTATAAAAGAACAAACAAAGAGACAATCTTTTTTGTAAATATGAACGTACACGCGTATACGATTAATGAATGGTGCATGATCTAAAAAAGAACGTATAATTAGAAGGGCAATTCTCTCAAATAGCCATTTTTAAGTTTTTATCACAAAAATAGAATTCAGAAAATTAAAATGATCAAAATAATACTTTTAATTTTGTAAATTTTGATTTTTTTTTTTAAATTTGAAACCATATCTCTAAATCCCACTATTCAATTTTAAATAAAAAAGTTTAAGATTAATTAACACAAGGGGTAAAAAATATATTTAATAAAACATTTAATTGTTATTTTGGTCATTTTAATTGTTAAGATCTATATTTGTGAAAAAAAACTTTTTACATTTATTTTAGTCATTTTCTCCAATTAGAAAAAATGTTTCTTTTTATAATTTCAGAAATAATTACGTGTTTGAATTAAAAAAAAACATGGACCATAAAAGTAGTAAATCGAATTAGGAATTTGATGAAGTTTGAAAATACAAACGTACTAACTAGCAAAATACTTTTTTTCCTATACAAAAGATTGATATTATTTTTTTGCTTTTATTTTTTAAAGATTGATGTTTGAGAATTTTATTTAATGCATTTTACTTTTGAGTTAATACATACATCTAAAATATAAAAGTATTATAAACACTAGAAACAAACAGAATTTAAAACATAAAACTAAAAATTAATAAATAAAAATGTGTATATAATCTTATTAATAAATTTGAAATTTTCAAAACCTCAATTTTTTTCAAATGCAGAAAAAGTATGTTCCTTTTTAATTGGAAGAAGCAGATATCATAACCTTGCAAGAGAGAGAGAAGAAGATGTAAGGAGACTGGAGACAGCGGTTACAGGTGTTACAAACATTGCCGGAACCACGAAATTGCCGAGAGTGAGGCCTTTCATTTATGAACACAACTTTCGAACTGTTCGTTTTGTATGGCTTTAATCATCATCACCAATCAGGAGAGACACAAACCGACCCAAAAAGAAGAAAAAAAAACATGTATTAATTAAAAAGAAAAACAGCTGTAAGTTTAGGGCACAAGAACTCATGAAAACAAACAAATTAAGAAAAAAGTCTTAAAAGAGTTATAAATCAATTAGAGCATCTTCAATCCCACCTCACTTTATGGAGTAATCACTTTTTTTGTTTGTTTATTAAACCATTTTCTACTTTATGGAATAATCACTTTTTGATTTGTTTACTAAGATAACAACTATCTCCAATCCCACTCCATAATTTACTGCAAAATGGAGTGGGAAATTGAGTGATGAAGAAACAAAAAAGTGATTACTCCAAATATGGAGTAATGATATTTTTGTTTCTTCATCACTTCATTCTCCACTCCATTTTGCAGTAAAATATGGAGTGCGGTTGGAGATGCTCTAAACCATTTTCCATTCTATTTTGCAGTAAAATTATAGAGTGAGGTTAGAGATGCTCTTATAGAACCAAACCAACAAACCTGAATTGAAGAACAATCCATCAGCTTTGAAGCGTCATCTACCCTTAAAACGTCGTTATAAATGTATCTTCTTATCTGAAAACATTCCCAGCAATATAAAGTTTTAAACTTTTGAGTTTTGATGATAATAAGCTGTTTTTTTTTCCAAATGAAAAAAGTGAAAAATTTGTTGACCCGAAGAAGACTATGAGAAGTATGAGAAGGGAGACAGTGAGGACATATGCTAAGACAACAGTCTAAACACAAAATATTCTTTTCGTTCTTCTTTTTTTCTTCATGCTCCAAACAAGCGTTGAAAAACTTCTCCTTCAACAAAACCTCTAGCCATGCAGGAAATTCTCCACCTCCCATCTGCAAAATTGAACCAAAACCCATGTTTCAATTACGGATTATTAGCCAAGAAAAAAAATGAAAACTTAACTACACCCAAAACGGTAAAAAAGGATCATATTCTTGATCAAGAGTAGGCGAATTTGATTGAGCTCTCAGTTATGAAACTGACTCACCATTCTCAGAGAGAGAGCGGCGCCTGGAGAGAGTGACCAGTTGCTTTATTTAAATGAAGTCATTTTTGTCCTTTCTGTCGAGACTTATATCAATGTGTATTTGTTGTTTTTCTTTAAAATTGTATCAAGCTTCGATTACGTGTGTATACTAGAAAACTCTTATGAGAAATGATTACTGGGACATTTATTATTGTCAGCTGCTCCCACAGTAACTGAGTAAAATATGGAACTAATACATGGTTCCGTAATACTCCATCCGTTTCAGATTGTAGAGTAAAATTTTCATTTCATAATAAGTGTTGCTTTATAATTTCAATGCAAAATTTATTGATTTTAAATGTCATTTTATTTTTTCATTGATTGAAAAATGGTTAGGTGTATAGATAATTGTGTTTTTATTTTAAAAATATATAAAATTAATTATTTTTTTAATCTATGTGCAAAAACTTATAATGACAACTAAATTAAAACGGAGTGAATAACAAACTTGAATCTGAGTCTGACAAGCATTATAAATCGATAAAATTAATTTCATAGAAAATTTATGTTTTAAAAGAGGATTTTCACTTTTTCAGTTGTTTGTAGTCTGTAAAGAGTTTTCTAAAACTAATGTTTTGGTTTTTATTTGTTATGTCAAATGAAATTACAACTAGTATTTTATAGTTATCATTTGTTTTTATTTGTTATGTCAAATGCTAATACAACTATTTTATAGTTATCATTTATTATTATTATTTTATGCTTTCTCAGGTTAACTGTGCAAATGTGCTAAATGACAAACACGACTGTCCTCAACATTCTACTTTTCATTATCACAATGGCAATTTCTTAAAACCACTGGCATCAATATGCAAATTAAACCAAGCACCATTTATAACCAAAAAGAAAAAACATAAATATATGATATAACGCTTTTAGTGTATTGCTGAGAGAATTACAGAGAGATCAAATTCCAAGAAGAAAAACATCTTGTCACACAGCTGTAGACTCATCTAGAAAACCAGTGCGAAGTTGATGCATGGCGCTTTCATTGGTCATAGTTACTACTAAAAATACGTAGACACACTAGGCCACCTAAAACATCTCAATCTGAATTTAAAATTTAGGAAGTAAAACAAGTTATATGCATGTGTATGTATAGAAAGATGGGACAGAGAGGTTGGTACGGAGGAGAGCAGCAGCCTCATGCAGAAGACGACGCACATTGCTTTTGATCAAATCCGATTCGTTTCGATTCAGCTGTTCCCTTTTATCGTTATAGCTTTTTCTAGTTAGTTACTGATTAGGGGTACATAGGTCATTTTTGTTTATCTCCATGGGCTTGGGCCTTAACACAGCGTTGGGCTACTTTCTACTGGGCTTAATATTTTGATTTAAGGATTTATTCATACTTGGTAGAAGCATATCATCGATGTTGTTGTCGATATAGTCATATGGCAGTGAACTTTAATTTAACAATCGAAATCGTTGGAAACCAAAATGGTCAAATGAGGACAAGAGACAGTGACACACGACCTACGACTTTGTCTTCATTTTATGATTTGATGTCCCACAAGTAATAAATGTATATCTATAAATGTACATGACATTATGGATTTTACGCACATGATCTCTTTATTCCGGGTTCGAATCAGTGGAATACAACTTTATTACATCAAACTTTTACGGCAGAGGATGCTCAACGGATTTCACTTTTGAAACCATCATTGATGGTTGACGATACACTCAGATGGGGTTTCACAACGAGTGGTTCTTATTCGACTAGGAGCGGGTACAAGCTGTTAGAAGCTTTGGTTGAATATGATC